GMSAMRASWCTAGCTACTGAGGCTGAAATAGCATTTTGCCTTATCTCTCTGCAAAAGCTTATGAGCTTGTAACAGTATCTCYACATCTTTATTAATATTATTCATGTTATTAATATTTTCTTATTATTGTCCGGACAAAACCGAATTGCACCAAAAGCTATTAACTCCCTTCAAATTAATATGCCCCGCATATTACATTACACATTATACATGATATTATAGCGCATCATATYTTGAGAGTTTTCCTCATCAATTGCAAATAATTGTTTTCATTTAAAAAAAAATATGCCCCGCCGTGACGGCATTTCTCTTTTTTTTTGTACTTTTCTCGGTTTCATTGGCGGCGAGTCSTCTTTATATCACGCAAACATGTAGACTGCTATAGTTGGCATAGCGAACGATTTCAAAGCTATTAAGATAGCTTATCGCAAGAACAGTATTCTCAGCAACGCTTAAGAATTAAAATGTGAAAAGTGAGACTATRATATTTCATTGATTTAACACAGGCAGACAAGCTTACAGAAGAAGAAATTGCAGGTAAAGCAAACTAAGTCTTTTGAATGGTGCTTTCTCCTTGTGATGTCATTCAATACTGGTCAAGATCGACGGAATTAAGTACAAAGTTAAACTGAAGCCATATTGTTCTGTTTCCACAGCTGTTGTGAGCAACAAGGATTATATCTATTTCTTAGTGTTTCAAAAAGCAGTAAACGCTATTGAGCCACCGTTCATCTTATTCTGTACTCTTTGCCTAGCGTTTTCGGCCAATAAACGAATAATTCCTTTCATTCGACGTACATCTTGATACTTTTTCCAATACCATGTGCACTTCGGCAAGACAAACATGGCGTCATCAATGGAAATCTTATATGAATCTTATATGACGCACGCAATTAATCGTTTTCAACCATTCCCATGAGATTCAAAAGATAAAAGACCGGCGGTCATGTTGGAGGAATGAACAATAGATACTAATGAGAAATCTTTTGTTKAAACTCCTTCAAAATGGCCGYTGTGACGTAATTTGAAAACGAAGAATAGGCAATGTGCAGCGACGTCATTTTGTGCAGCAAAGCATGATGGTAGTTGTAGTCCTCCGACTTGAAATGCTTTTTCTTTCGTTGAGTCAAAACGGAAGTTGTTTCGCCGTTTCTTCAAAGTAATCGTAGTAATTGTAGTAGTAATTGTTTTTAGTTTTGTTTTATTTTTATTTTGTAAATCATCAGAATTCAAGGAAGCGTTTATGGTCTTTGACAAAGATGGCGACGGYACAGTAACGATACAAGAGCTTGGTACCGTCATGAGAAACCTTGGCCAGAACCCTACTGATGACGAAATCAAAGAAATGATTAAAGACGTTGACAAAGACGGTAAATTATCGTTTCATAACAGGAATAAAATTATCATACCAAGTATAGGATAAATCAGTGGGATAGCGGCCAGCAAAGTCATGCACTGTTTAAGAATCCAACATTTTTGCCCATTCAATAGACCTTTTCTGAAATACATGGTGCATTGTGATCTAGCTTCAGTACAAACAACGCCATATTTGGCAGCATTAACAAAAGATGTTTGTACGGAATCTAGAGAACATTGCAATGCAAACTGCTATCTCAGAAAAGACCTATGCACTATTAATATAGCAGAAAAAAAACACGCTACACATATCTTTAGTCACCAGGGCATTAGTCAAATGTTCAAGTCAACAAAAGCCATTTTCATTACAGGCAGTGGGTGCATCGACTTTGACGAGTTCCTAAAGCTTATGGCCAACCGTACAAAAGGAGTATCGTACGAAGACGAACTCAAAGCGGCTTTTAAAATATTCGACGCAGATGGCAACGGAAGCATTACAGTAGCTGAACTAAAGCAGGTACTRGACAACCTTGGCGAAAGACTTTCTGAAGAAGAAGTAGGAGAAATGATTAAAGAAGCCGATACTGACGGGGATGGTACAGTGAACTACGAAGGTGAACTATAACTACGTATGGTGGGAACTAGCGGTAAACTAGTGTGAGCTGCGTCGGTGTTTCTAAAGAAACAGTTGTGTAAAAAGATAAATTTAACACCGTAAAAAAGTATGTGAAATAACTTACTGACGTTAATTTCGGACGTTAATCATTCGTCGGAGTAAAAGTGAAAAAGTGTAAAAGTGAAGCCACTTTTACTACGACGAAGGAGTAAGGTCCGAAACGTCAGTAAGTTATTTCACATACTTTTTTTACGGTGTTAAATTTATCTTTTTACATAACTATAACTACGTATGCTGTTTTTTTCGTCTTGTAGTCGACTTGCAACAGCCGAACGATGATGATGATGATGCTGTTTATGAACACAATACTTCTACTATCAAAAACCTATTAAAAACTAAACAGTTTTGTAAAAAAGAATGATTTTTAACAGCATAAAAAGTAGGTGAAACAACTTACTGACGTTTCGGACGTTAATTCTTCGTCGGAGTAAAGGGAAGGAGTGATTGACATCCGAAACGTCAGTAAGTTGCTTCACCTACTTTTTTACGATGCTAAAATTCACCTCTTAGAAACACTGACGCAGCTCACACTAGTCAACCGCTATAGTTTACACAATTTGGACTATTAAAAAGTAACGTTTATACGTTTTGTTGGGAAACGTAACAGAACAAAAACAAAACAACAACATTGAAACCAACGAAACAATAACAACAACAAAACGCCGGAAAAAGAAATTCCCATTCCATTCTATCTATTACTTTCTTTATGAGTTAAATGTCAAATCTCTTGTTTTTTGGGGGTGAATAAAACCCTCTATATAAAGTATTCTTATTTGAATTTCAGAGTTTATCAAGATGATGATGGCTATGCAAGGCAAATAAACAAAAACGATCAACACCATCTCAAATTACGTCATATATAACCATATACTGTGAAAGGCTTTAAAATGTTGTATGCAGTCACTTTGAGCTCTAGAAATGTTCTTGCTGGGGCTTAATAGGGGTACAGTTATGCTAGGAAGAGCTGTAGCAGCTTATTGGCATGAGTAGTATTTTCAATATGGCGTCTTGCACTATAACGACCAGAATGCTTTGCGCAATCTCAGTATTAAGAATGATTGGTGTACAAAAGAGCATTCTGGGATTTGTGGGAAAAACATGACGCAATTTTGAAAACGACCACAACTAGAATAGTCATTTTTCGTATTCCAGCTATTTGAGATATCGTATCACGTGACAAGGTCGATCATATTGTCCACTTGCCTGCTATATACTGAAATTCATTTTCATCATTTTACTGAAAATACAAATAGTATTGAAACAAACT